TTTTTTTAAGTATAATACCAACAGACACCTATAATCAAGAATAGCCAAAAATTGTGAACAGTCATTCTAAACAAATGAATTTTTTCTAAGCAAAGCTATATACCTTACATGCAAAATTCTATTCTAATCCTCAAATTTCTCCTAAGACATCCGACTAAAAACTACATATAAATAAAGAAAACTTTTTTGCAGTCTCTGATTACAGATACCAATCTTTTTCCTTACATAAAAAATTTTCTATCATCAATCAACAGACCTGTACTGTGAATATGAGATCACATCAAAACCGTTCAACACGTTGTGGATGTTCATTGGTGCCCAACATATTGCGTAAGTCAATACGAGAATCATAAGAAGCAGAAGAGCACGCCTGAACAATGCCATGTTGCAGGCAGATCTTAATGGATAAGTGAGGTCCAGAGTTGCCCGTGTGTCGGCGCCGTGCCAGCGCCCTGCCGAAACGCATGCACACCGCTGATTACTTGACCTCAACGGCACAGCTCTACCAGTAGCGCACGGCGCTGGAACGGCGCTGGCACGAGCATATTGGACAAGAATCAGTGCTCCGAGCTTGTCACAAGCATCAGAGCTTTCAGTTCCAAGAAAATCATTTGTAGAAATTTGCTTATACCTGTTCCGGCTTTGCATGCTGATGCGCCGGGCCTGATCAATGGTACGACTGATTTTTGAACGACGCCGAATCGTGGAACCAATTTGTACGTATGCGTATGCGAGGGCAAATAATGGAAGAAGGTACTGTAATGAACCACCTCCTATAACGAAACTTACATTGTGTAAAGTAGATTACCTGAATGGCCAGCACAATCACCGTGAATGTGGTTTTGGAGATATAAGCACGATCCCAAGTGTCTTGCATCTCCACGCAAACCTCAGGATGAGATCGGTCACATATGCTTAGCTTGAATATTCCGCTTTATTAGCGCTTAACCGTAGTTCTATGTCTCGGTTTTTCTACGCTCACCATAGCAGGAATATGTACGTCGTTCCAGGGTTCGAAACTGTCAATCTTGCTAGATCTAACAGTCAGCGAATAGGGAAGCGCTACGACAATTGATATTATCCAGACTACACAGTAACAGATGATTGGGGCCGTTGCTGCTAAGCGCCTGTTAACACATTCTAGAGCAGAACTTCCTCCGAAAAAGAAGAATTACCATCGCACTGGACAAGTTGTTAGCAAGACACGATCCATAGCAATGAGAGCAAGCGTCAGAGACGAAACAAATGTGTTTACGGCTTGTACGGATGCCAACTGCAAAATAGCCCTCATTTCAAATGCTGACTTAGTTCCATCTCAGAAACTCACCACTTTGCATGCGATATTTCCAAAAGGCCAAAACAAATTCGCACTTGTGTACAATGTCACCGGAGCCGTGACTACGCATAGCAGCAAATCAGAACACGCCAAATTCACTATGAAGCTGGAAGTAGAAGCGAAATAAGAATAACAATGGCGGAGGAGCCCCTATCCACCCCAGAAATGGTCTCAAGAAAATTTCGAAAATGGCATAGATGACCTTATAGAATCGTGCAAGTAGTTCGTAAATTATCAAAGTAATTTTTTGAATATTTC